TCTTTCTTTCTTTCCTCCCTCCATCCCTCCTTCCCTCCCTCCCTCCCTCCTTCCTTCTCTCTCTCTCCTCATCTTTCTTTCTTTAATTTGTTTCATATATTCAATTGCTGCTACCTTTTTAAAGTATTCTATCATCTCCCCACTGATGCCTTGTCACCTGTCATACGTCAAATGTCAGTACCTGCAAAGATCTGTTTCAGCCTGCCTAGCTTCACACACACGCAAGTGCATACACACACACAAACGCACACCCTTTCTTTGGAATAGTTATTGGGATTGGGATTGATTTAAAAAATCAGTCAGAGAAAAACGACTATCATTACAATATTGAGTTCCACTCAATGAACGTGATACATTCATTCCGTTAGTTTTTTAAACATTTCTGTTAATAATGTTAAAGTTTTTTAATAGAGGTTTTGCATATATTTTATTAGCTATATTTCCAGGTACTTGATTTTTTTTGATGCTATTTTAAGTGGTACTTTTCTTTTAATTTCATTTTCTGTTTGTTGCTAGAAATACTGGTATTTAGTCATTATCTTGCTAAACATGAGTAGTGAATCTAAGTACAGAGTTGGATAAAGTGATTAGTGCACTCATGCCAATGGTCATATACAGAACACTGCCCGTAATGGATTTAGGATGTATCTGAATACAAGGGGTATTTACACAAATTGACCATATACTGGGTCATTAAGCAAGTGTCAAAACACTTCTCACCATTGAAGTGATATAGAGATCATGCTCCCTAACCACAATACAATTACCCTTGAGGTCAGTAACAGAAGGACGATTAGTGCTCAAACATCTGTTGGTGCCGGTCTGGCGTTTTCTCCTTGCCATGGATTCTACGAACCTACCTGTGGGTCTTTGAAAAATTTATTCGGCACCACCTTTGCCATTGGGCGCCTTGAACCAAGGACTGACGTGTCCCCACATGAGAGAGTAGACAGGACGCTTCTTACCTGGACTGGGGGGTTTGAGTGTGGCTGGGTGTAGGAGAACAGGAAGGGCAGGGGCTCACTAGGTCCTCTGAGTCCCTCGGGCACACCCAGCACAGTTAGGGGAGTGGAGATGCTGGGTGGCAGAGGGCCCCGACCAGCTTCAAGCTGACTAATCCTGGTCGGAGGGTAGGGGTGGGAGGGGAAAGACAGGAAATGATTACCGATGCTCAGTGTGTTTTCTTGCTACTTTGTACTGATTTCTGTTAAAGTATAACATACATGCAGCAAAGCACACAAGTTATGTGTACAAGTCAGTGCATTATCCCCAAATCCATACCCCTGCGTGACCACCCGTCAAGACATGGCAGGTAGGCAGCCTCCCAGAAGCCCTCCTCTGCCCAAGCCACTCCCACTCACAACCCTTGTGTTAAGAATGAACTGGGGATTTGCTCTAATCCGGCCTCCCAAGGCAGCTGACGTGGACGTGAGTCTCATGAAGGAGGTTTATAGGCACAGATCTCCAGCGACAGGAGGCACACGATGACACGCCACATTGCGTGGGACCTGGGAAGCACCCAGGTGGGCCAGCAAGCAGAGGAGGAGAGGGCAGAGGTGGTGGGGCCTTTACCGGGGCCTTTATTTGGGCTCTTGCAGGGAGGAACAGGCAGGACACGGCAGGTGCACTAGGTCAGCTTGGGGCTGGACTGCATAGTTTGGGCTCCGGCTGCGCGGGTGGGCTCTAGCTGCCTGGTGCTGGGGTGGGTTAGGGCCGGTGGGACTTTGATGAAGGGGAGAATTGAGAGTGAGGGCACTGAGCTGCTTGGTTTGTGTGTCAAGGTGCGCTTGCAGCGGAGTCGTTCCCCATCTCTGGGAACCCGCCGGCCCTGGGCCCGCAGTCTCTCCAGGATCAAGGCCCCAGATGCCAAGCATCAAGGACAATGTAGTCAGCGCAATCCGCCTTCCTCCCAAGGGTCCCCTTCTCTCCTGACCTCTAAGCCCACGGGCTGGTTCTGCGCTTCTGAACTCTGTGTAACTCACACCGCCGCGTGCGCGATTTCCTTTCACGGTGCGCTTGGAGATGCAGCCAAGTTGCTGTGCGTTGCCGCGGTTTGTTCATTTCTGCTGTTGTACGCTGTTCTGCTGTATGACTTGTCCATTCTTCTGCTTGGACCTGACTCAAATCCCGCTGTGATGAACATGCTCGCGCATGTCTCTGGGCGCCCGCCCTCACGTGCATTCATTCTGTTGGGTTTGTCCCTGGGGACGAAATCGCTGATCTAGCCAGGGTACCAACACCTTCGAGCTGAGCAGATACGCCCAACATTGCCCACACGGGCCGTGCCATCCTGCATGTCCGAGAATCTCTGTGTGACCTCGGTCAGGGGCCGTTTACACTCTTAAGCCGCAAGAGCGCACAGAGTGGTTACTCTGCCTCGACCTTGCACAGCACGCGGATTGATGGATGATTGGTGTATAAAGTCCCTTCTGTCTGAACCTTATACAGTACATGTATTGACTTAGGAAGTGGTTTCATTTCATATTTGACTCAGGTTACTAAGTCCAGGTGAGTACAAATACAAAACGTCAGGAGAAAGAAAGAAAATTCAGAACCCGTGTTTCCTTGGTTTACGTGTCTGGGATTTTAATTTTACAGCTTTACAGCGCAGCCTTTCTCTCGGCTTCCTCACACAGACCTCTTGCTAGAAGCTGATGAGGGGTCTCTAGCTCTCTGAAACATGGTGGAGACGTTAGAAGTTTTATCAAAGCACTCAACTTAACTATGACTGGCTTTCAATAAATGTTGGTTTCTTTATTCCAATCAGCTCTGAAGCACTCTACAATCTTAGTTATTAAGATATAGTTTAAAAAAACTATAGAGAGTATTTTTATCTCTCATTACTGGGTCTTCTCTGGCCCTTATAAACAAATTCTCAGAGTCAAAAAGATCTACAAACCCATTTACATTGTATTAGCCATACTAATTGAAAAATAGGATTTTTCCTTTGTCCCCTTTTCATGCTGAGATTTGCAAAAAAGCACGGGAGAAGTTTCAAGAATGCAGAATTATTACATACCCTCAAGTACTATGAATTTTGATGACATTCCATATGCAGGCATTTAAAGGGGGGAAGAAAAGACCTCACAGAAACAACTACTGCTTTTCTTCTTCATCGATAGTCATTCTACTTTAACATTACGTATAGGGGAAAAACTGGTCAGTTTACATTTTAGTATAATGGGTGAGAGATACTTTATTCGCACGGATGGGCGACCTCATGGTGTGCCCCGGGTATGTGAGTTGACCCAGCCTGCTGGGCTCATCACTTGCCAGGGGAGTCTTGGGGCTGGACTCATGGCTTCCTGAGGGACAGAGACATCAAGGATGCTGTTTGGAACTGATTCTGTTTTATCTCACCCTAGAGGCCCCTCCCCACACACACACCCCCAGCCCCCAGTAAGCCGGAGTTTGGAGTGTTTGGATAAGATTCCAAAGAGGCTGCTTTGCCCTCTAAGAGCCGGCACCTTGTCATCTCAGTCATTCACACCTTAGTAGGAAATAGCCCATCAGGTCCTTTCCGGAGAGCTGAGTTTGCCTGGAGCTCAGAGAGGTGCTGGGCCCCCAGGAGCGCGCTGCCTGGAGCCGCGCTGGCCCGCCCTGTGCCCCGCCCAGCCGCAGCCCCAAATCCTAGGCGGTGCATCATCCTGGGGCGGGGCGGCCCCGCCCACCCGCGCCGCCCCGCCTTCCGGGGACACTCCCTTCTGCCTATAAGGGCCCGCTCTGCGCTCTCCCCAGACCACGCACCTCGCCCAGACAGCCCAGCAGCTGGTAAGGCCGGGTAGCGATCTGGGCCGGGCGGGAGAGGCTCCGATCCGCGAGCACCCCTCGGGGTCCCGCGTCCGGTGGTCACCCCGCGCCGCCGTGCGCTCCGCGGGGTGCCCGCGTCCGGTGGTCACCGCGCCCCGTCGTGCGCCCCGCGGGGTCCCCGCGTCCGGTGGTCACCCCGCCCCGCCGTGCGCCTCGCGGGGTCCCTGAGTCCGGTGGTTACCGCCATCTTCCCTGCGCCCCACCCGGGGTCCCCGGCGCTGCGTCCCGGGAGACCAAACCGGGCGGCCTGCGGCAGACGGAGGTCGTTCCCTGCGGCCTGAAGGCGGAAGCGGAAGCCGAAGCCGGAGTCCAGAATGTTTCTCTCTCTGTGACGGTTTCCAGGCAGCCCCGGCGGAGAGGCTTCTCCTTTCTGCGGCTGGAGGCAGGGAAGGGAGGCCAGTGCGATCCTAGAGATTATTTATCAGCAGCAACAGTAATAATTCACTTAGCACTTACACGCTGGGCAGCCAGCACGACTGTTCCTCTTGCTCGATTGTATGTGGGCTGAGAGTCGAGGTCAGGTGGGGAGAGTGCTTGGCTGAGCTGAGCGCAAGGCCAGGTGCTTCACCTGCAGCCCCTCCGTGCAAGCCGGAGTGACAGAGGATACTTGTCACCTTCTCCTTGTCGGGCTGCCCTACCTGACCCCGGGGCCTGTGTTGGCTTCCCACTCTCAGATCCTTCACCAGCTGTGAGACTGCGGACCTCTCTAAACACCAGCAAGTGAATCTCAAAAACGAGGATACTTCTGTCTCTTTTGCGGGAATTTGCTTTAATGAGTAGCAGGTAGCTATGATTTTCTAATAGAAACATTCTTTTTCAGGTAAAAGTGGGCAGTGGATTCATGGCTCAAATGAATCAGAGACTTGAACGGAGGGTGGGAAGTGTGCGCTCCCACGTGTGGTAGGGAAGGGCCCAGATGCACCTGTCTGCACGGCCAGGGCCCTTTAGGACACGGAGTCCTGATCCCATGTCACTGCTGAAGCCTTGGCCAGTTGCCCCAAGCTCCCACAGTAGTGCACATGGAGTGTTCTTGCCCTCCGCGAGAGAGAGACAGAGAGGGAGAGAGAAAGTACAAGTTCGTTGCAGGGTATTTCAAGGTGGCTGGCGTGACTTGAGGAGGAGATGGGGAAGTGGCGTTGTCGATTGGCTGGTGTGGCAGGGGGCAGCTCAGGGCTCTGCTCTGTGTTGCAGCCTCACCATGGAGCAGTTGAGCGCGGCAAACACCCGCTTCGCCTTGGACCTGTTCCGCGCCCTGAACAAGAGCGATCCTGCCGGCAACATCTTCATCTCCCCCTTCAGCATTTCATCAGCGCTGGCCATGGTCTTTCTGGGGACCAGAGGCAATACCGCAGCGCAGATGTCCAAGGTGAGCAGAAACTAGCTCTCCCAGCTGGTGCCTACCGCACAGACCGTACCAGAAAGTTGTGCCTTTGAGCTCTTGCAGCGCGTTTGTAGAAAACTGTATTTCGGTGTTCAGCATTGTGTGTTATATTATACATTATACTTCATGAAGTCAGACTTTCAGAAAAAGCCCCAGGAAAAATCCACTGGGATGCAGGCTGTCATTCATGACCCAGTCTTTACTGAGCACCTGCGATGTGCCAGGCTCTGCTTTTGTGGGACTGAGGACGGAGAAGGAAGAAAGCCGACAACCCCCTGCCGTGCGCTGCTTCCGTTCCCGCAAGGAGTCTGCAGGGCTTTCCTGTAAGCCACGCCCTCCCCCGCCCAGGACTGTCCAGTTTCCGCTTTGCCTGTGATGCTCAGCGACTCCCATAATGTCGGCTGTGTCTTGATACTTTTGGCATAATGACACCTAGTCGAGAAGTCAAGGGGACACGAGAGCCTGTGAGTCCGTGTTCCTACCCCTGGGCCTGGCACCAGGTGTGCCCTGGTGGGCTGTGACCCCCGTTCCCGTGTGAGCAGTAGGGCCCTGCCGGGAGAGGGGGCGGGGATGCTGAGGGTCCTGCCTGTCCTTGGTGGGTGTGGAGGGCACCTGTGTGCGGGGCGTGCTTTATGCTGAGTGGGGAACTCTGGCTTTCCTTGAAAAGAGGGGTGAAAGTGAAGGTCTTTCTAACAGACGGGTCACAGATTGCGCTGCACTTAGAGCCAGGGATGGTCCAGCCCGGATTCACGTTTATGGGCCTGTTCCAGCTGCAAAGCTTCTATTTCTGTACTTTAGGAAAAACCAACCTTTTTCATCACTTCAGATACAAAAGAGTTTGAAAGTTTTTAAAAATCCACTTTAAAAAAGAACCCCGGTACTAGTCACTGTTAGTCGTCCCCTGCAAGGTAATCTGAGCTTGTGTTTTGAGGCTCTCCAGGAACTTTATAAGCTCAGTAAAGAACAGGCTTAAGGTTTTAGCCCCGTTTCCAGTAAAGAGATCCATCACAGCACCCCCACGCACATTCCATATCTGCAAGGAAAAAAAATAAAAACCTCTCAATCTGTACCATCTCTGTGTTCTTACATAGCTGATGATTCTTATCTTTACTGTTTATTTCTGAGAACTTTCAGTAAAATTTTATTTGTATAGAATATACATATGAACTTACCGCTTCTGATTTTGGGGAAAAAGGCAGACTTGTGTAAATATTTCGCTTGTTAAGCACTCCTATTTGTGGAACTCTAATTATACCAAAAAAGGGATGGGAAAACAGTTTCCAATGTCCGTATTATGTTTCACCAAGCGATACATTTTGGATTTTCTATTACTTGTTCTCCAATGAAAAATGGAAAATGAAGATGGCTGGGGATCATCAATAATTAGTAATATTAATTTGATTTGATGGAAGCAAATGCCAAGGAACCAGCTTATAATTTCAAAAGAACTGGTTATAGAAATAATGTGTTCTTTCTTTTAGGCTCTCTATTTCAAAGAGGTTGAGGAGATTCATTCGGGATTTCAGAGTTTGAATGCTGATATCAACAAACATGGAGCTCCCTACATTCTGAAACTTGCTAACAGGTTATATGGAGAGAAAAGCTATGATTTCCTCCCTGTAAGTACTTTGCTCTTCATGTTCCAAAACTCACTAGACAATGCAGACTCTTTTCCAGCACAATCAAGTCACAGAAGTCAGCTTTAAGTTTTATAAACATTCAGCAAAATCATCCAGAATGAAAACACGACAGACAGTTTTCCCGGAAATGGATGTGATTTCATTTTCTAGTCTCCACAGTGAACAGATTGACCCTGGCTGTTTTGCTAAGGCAAGAGTGAATCCCATGAGTCACTTTCAAGGACAATCAGTATCTGCTTGTTTATGAAAATGT